TGTTAGCATCTAGTGAATAGAAATTTGTTGAACCAATGAAGACCCTCCTGACTGTCCTTACTGAAACCTGTACCAATGACTGTTAAGAAAGATGATTCAAAATGTAAGATCACAATTTCTAGCCAATGAGAAAAGGTGAAGCTTCCATTCTGTGATGTTAATATACACTGATGATTCTGTAACCTCGGATTCCGGCAGACATTAGCTCTGGCAGCATGCTTGTCCGCTTCCCACTTTTGCCCTTTTGAATATATGCTAAATAAAACTTTCTTTTTGCTTTACTACACTTTATGATGTTTTTTCCCCACACTACCACCCTTTTGAAGTTAGGTGAGATCATGCAGCTTGCCTGGGCCACGATATAAGAAATAATATTGGAGTTATTATTCCCTCTCCTTGAGCATACAGAATGTGACCCAGCTGGAGGTGAGCTCACAAAGACTCACAAGACACATCAACTGGGCCCTGAGGTATAAAGGCAATAGCTAAGATAATCTTGGAAAATATCTTTTAGGGAAACTTTCACATAAAGCTAATCAAACGCAACACAATGAAGACCCTCCTGATTCTCATTACTGAAACCCGTACCAATGATTGTTAAGAAAGATGATTCAAAATGTAAGATTACAATTTCTAGCCAATCAGTGAAAAAGTGACACTTTCAATGATTCTACCCATTTTGTGATGGTGATTTTACGGATGATTCTGTAACCTTCCTTGGATTTGGGCAGACATTCTAGCTCTGGCAGCATGCTTGTCCGCTTCCCACTTTTATCCTTTTGAATATATGCCAAATAAAGCTTTCTTTTTACTTTACTTTGTGATGTTTTTCCCCTACAACAGCCACGAAATACCAGTCGATGTAACAAGGGTCACCTCAGATTGGAAGCATTTAAGAACAAGTGTGTGACTGATTCTCAGGAGTCCTGGTGGTGCAGCGGTTAAAGCCTCAGCTGATAATCAAAAGGTCTGCTTTGGAACCAACCTGCCGCTCTGCGGGACAAAGATGTGGCAGTCTGCTTCTGTAAAGATTACCCCCTTATAAACCCTATGGGGTAGTTCCGCTCTGTCCTATAGGGTAGCTATGAGTCTACTCGAAAGCAGTGAGTTTGTTTTTTTGTTGTTTGGTGAGATTCTCTAGCTTTCTTTTTCCCTTCCACATTGTCTAGAAATATTACAAATATCCAGCCTGAGTCTTTAAAATGGACATGAGCACGAAAAGAAACGAACTTCCGAGACACATGTGTTTCAGGAGCAGAAACTCCAACGGAAGGCGAAGTCACAGACAGCAGAGACAAAAATACCGCTAGTTTCATATAAATTAACCTACCAAAAGGTTATGATGCGGAGACCTGTGGAACCTGGTGTTTCTGTAACAGACTTAAAATAACTCTCCTGAAGTACACCTAGAAACAACGCAATCTTCTCACAGTTCCGTCAGCCCGCGCTCACAGGGGCAGGGAGAAACGGAGAGAACGGAAGGGCAGCAGGGAGGCTGTGACCCACAATAGTCGTGGGACGGTGGCGGGATACGCGCCGGACCTTAAGGAGAAAACGCGAGGCCCGCCCCTCACGGCGCTTCCCCCGGAAGAGCGTCATCAAGTCTATAAGAGAGCGTGCGCAGAGGCACTCGGCCTTTTACATCCGGGGAGCGTTAAGGTTAGTTTTGAAGTTTCAGTGCAGTGGTTTACGCGTTTTATTAATTGGGTTAGAGGTTTTGGACGTAATTAAAATGCAGGACATCCTAGGCTACTGTCGCAGTGGTAGGCCGAGATCGGTTTTGAAATCTTCCAGGTTCGCTAGCGTGGGCGGCCTTAGACGTTGTTTCGGTCGCTCAGCGGCCACGTGCAGCCCTGGGTCTGGAGCTCCAGGCTGACGCCTGGGAGCCAAAGACCCTCGGGTGAAAGATCCGTGCCTCAGGTGACTGGCGTGAAGGTCATTAGTTGCTGTCGGTGGCATGTGCACATCCTGAATCTACTCTCCGTCGCTATTAAATCAACAGCAACCCAAAGCCTGCCACAGATTTATCCAGAGGGTAAGTAATTTTTGGAGTTTAAGCTTGCTGATCATTTCTAGGATTGGGAATGTCCATGTATCTTTGGGACCTGTCAGCTGTGGCAGTCTCCCTTCCTAGCCATGGAAGAGTATATTCTTGTTTATTGGCAAAGCTGTTACCATTTAATTGGTATCAGATTCTGACTTGCACAAGTAACATTCTTAGCTGTTAAAAACCTGGAGTGTGCCGGATAGGGGAAACTTTTCTAAGTATTGTTAAAATGTTTCTAGGATGCTGGCGTAATTCACGACAGAAGAGAGAAAACGAGGTACGCTTCCTTTTTGTTATTTCTGAGTTAATCGGAAGCCCCTCACCACTGAGGAATTGAAATGTTAAAGTTTGCCTTTTCCACACGTTTTGTAATTTTAAAAAGTAAATGGCTAATGGAGAGTAACCGACTTAGCTGTGAAGACATTGCGGTAGGACAAAGACAGATCTGAGTTTTATATGATGGGTTTTTTTTTTTTTTTTCCTCCCATAGATTCCAAGAAATCCCAAGTCAGTGGAGAGTGAAGTCTTGTTCAGCATGTTGAAGTGGATCACCCAATTTGATTTTAAATGTTAACTTCTTGCGATTGGATGGTAGTAATGTTCCAGGAAATACCTGGGCAGTACTTTCAATAGGCCTAAGTATTTTTAAGTTAGTAGAGCAAAGAATTTAAGCAGAAAATAAAGTTGCTTCTTTGTTATAATTTAATAAAATGCTTGATTCATCTGCATAACCAGTGTTTAACTGCATAATTAAATAGTTGAGGATAGACTTAAAAATGTAGTGAACAGACATACCTCTTTTCTGGTAAGAACACATGTGGAAGTAACATGAGTGAGTTAGAACAGATTCCAGCACTTTGGAAAACATCTTGCATATGAAAATAACCTGGTCATCCCCAAAGGAAAAGACAGGCTTTCATTTAGTTGGTACCACACAAAATATTAAGACGATTGTACAAGGTGAAAAGTTATTTGCGCAAATTTGCTTTGAATACTTGTATTTTTAAAAAATCACACTTAGCTATAATCAGATTTAGCTATACTAAAGGCATGTTTGGTGAACCACGTATTCTTAGGGGTTCAGCAAACTTAATGCCTGTTTTCCTAAGACACCATGCCTATTTGTTTATATACTGTCAATGGCTGCTCTTTCCAGACAGAATAGTTTTCCATAAAAAGGTTGCCAGCCCCTGATCTATTTAAAATTTACATGTTGATTGCAGCTAGCACTAGTTTGAAAACAGCCTGTTGAGAACATTTCAGAAAAGATTATCTCACCATTACACTTTTTTTCCAAGCCCTTGTGAGCTGTACATCATGTAGCTCTACTATTCATAAATGGTGAATGCCGCTTTAGAAGTTATTCATCAAAATCACACTTAGAAAAACTTTAATGTTGTTCTGACAAATGGCATTGCAGTTCTGCAAAGCAGTAATATAAAGCACCTTTAGATTAGTACCACTTTACAGTCAAAGGGGTACCTGATTTGATGCTGAAGAGAACCAGGTTTTTAGATCGCAGAAAGGGTGGCTTACATTTAAGAGGATTATTCACAACCATTATATTTGCTGCTTGAGATTTCCTTTGGGAGAAAACATTCCCATTTGCAAAATTTGTTGAGTCAGTACCCTACGCAGGAGCAATGTATGGTTAATAGCTTTGTTGTGGAGTTTAGATTCAAAGCTTTTCAACAGCTGTGTCTCCTTGGCCTGTTTTCTCCATTTGTAAAGTAGGGTTAATGAGAAGTATTTTTGAAAGTATGCTTAGATTTGACTGTATTGTGAATGTCTTAGGAAATAGGTATTAACTCAGTTACCAGAAAGTTGCAGTAGGTGGCACTCTTCCATTGTGGTCCAAAAAATGGGCATGATGCTACGGAAGACTTACAGTTCTTTATTCTATCTACTAAGTTAAAAATTTGAGGTGATGACCTGAAAAGCATAATTAGTACCCTCCCTCTCAAAGATTCTGGAGTTTTAATAGTTTTCAATAGTATGCTGAAAGCAATGGTGGCTATAACACTGGGTGCTTTTATACTGTTAACCATCAAAACTTCTGGGGAAAAAATTTACAGCAATAAAGTTTCTCTTGTCCTGGCCAGTTAGAATTAGGGTAGTTAGGTTAACTTTTGAAAGAAACTGACCTGAAAATATTTTAGGGAAGAGATATTGAAAACTTCTGACAGGTAAATTCACAATGCTGAAACAGTTGCCTAAATTCTGTCTTAATTTAAATAGTCTTTAATGGCAAATTATAAATATGATGGTTTAGAAATGCATCACTTCCAAATTTTGCTAGTAGTTTATAATATGAAAAATCGCTACAGTGTATTTATCTCTTATGGTTTCCATAGTGATTGTTGAGTACATGGATACTTGCTTCCAAATATCAGATCACTTCATTTAGGAATGTATTGTGATGGGCAAATGTCCTTGTGGCTCAATGATACTATTATTCCAGTCTATAAATGTATAATGCAATTTCTTTACACTTTTGGCCCTTAGTTTACTCATCTGACAAAGTATAAAGATTTCTTCGAGCTTTTTGGAAAGATCTGAGCTTAAAACATTACATAAATTGAAAATAATGCCATTCTTATTTTGAGTGCAGTAAAGGGTATTTTACCATGACAGATACGAAGAGATACCATACACATATGAAGTTAACAATCCCAAACAAGTATAAAAACCTGAATGCAAAATCAAAAAACTAACTTCTCTGGAGGATGAAACTAAAGAATTTAGTAAAACTAATGTGAGTAGGCAACTGCTAATTATAGTATTCCACTGAGGTATCTGTGACCAGTAATGTACACATTACAACTTCTCAAAAGGAGCAAGGGGTACACAAGCCTCAAATCTGTCAACAATTTTTATCACAACACAAAGCAGAAACATGGATCTCATTCCCCATTAGTTGTCATCTCTGGCTCAGCGCTAATCGGGGAGATTGTGAAATTTTCCGTCATATTCTTTAAATATTTTTTCTTGAGGTTTCCATGAACAATTACAGTTTGGTGACACTTTTTATCCAAGGTACAAAGGCTGAGACTTTGGTGTAAACACCAGGAGAATCCTTGGCTCCACAGCCATAACCCCAGGAGGTCACCCCAAAAACAACCCAGCTCTCTCCAGTCCGTTCACACATCAGTGGTCCTCCGCTGTCTCCCTGGCAGCTGTCCACCCGTTTGTGTTCATGGAGGTTTCCAGCACACAGCATCCTCCCTGTAAACCGACCCTTATACCGTTCTTCACAAAACCTCTTGGGAAGCAATGGGATGGCTGCTTGTTGTAGAGTTCTTGAATACGCTCGTCCTACTCAGACCAAATAATCTGAATTAGTCAATGAGATTCCAGTCAACACACCTACTGAAAAGAGCTTCATTTAGCAATTAAAATGAACATTTAAAGTCTTGGGGGTGGGGGTGGGGAAGGATTCCTATTGTAGCATTTGGTTCATTTGAAATGAGTGATAATTATGTCAATGTCATTAACTGCCATTTTGAATGTTGGCACTTAGCACTAGCCCATCATTAATCTGTTTCTCAATAGAGAATTTTTGTGAATGAGTAACTAGCATTTATGGACATGGCTATAGAGAAAGTTAAACCTAAATAGAGCACATTTGTTTACTGAATTCTGTAAGAAAGCTAAGAATGAATTAATAACTAGTTTTACATTAGCACATTCATTCCCCTAAGAGTCATCTACTTCATGGAGTTCTGATGATTAATTATAAACAACAGTTATATATAAGCCCATAAAGTGGCAATAACTGTCCTGAATAGAAACATGGTAATTCTTAAGGATGATTCAAAAACAAAACATTGCACATACTTTTCCATATACAAACAGGCTAAGTTTCACCAGCTGATGTTAACAGTACTCTTTGCTGGTAAGCCATTCGTTCTTTGTTCATTATTCCTTGTTAAGTGGCTAAAATGTATAATTGATATGTTTTCTGTGATGTCTTTTTCTTGGATATAGAGTCCAGCATTATTTTCTGATCCTATTTACTCAACTGAGTAACTGGTCCACAATGAAACACATTCTGTTAAATTTACTTCCTTGATCACATCTATTAATTTAGATGTAGTGTCCAAAGGTGACTGAGTCTTCCCTTTAAAAGTAATCATAAATCTCCCATTATACTTTTAGCTTTCTCAGAGTCTTGATTTGCCTAATTGGATCAGCATAGTTTACTGAAAAGGCTCTTACTTTGACCAGATTTTATCATTATGATACCCAATAAATGTTTCCTTTTTAGGTCTTTGTGGCTTATCTCTGGTTTGGTCCCAATGCTTTTCCAATATTCTAAATCTGCTACAGATATTCTGAATTTTAATACTATGAAATAGTTTAAGTCTAAAGTCCAGATTTAGTGTAACATGGGATAAAATAAACATCTACTAAATAAAACCTTATTGAAATTATCATCTGTAGAAATATACTGGTTCAACACTCTTCAAGAGTACAATTAAGAGTGTAACTATTTTTAATGGAGAGCCATCAACCTATCATTTCTTGGTATACAATACTCATTTGTCACCTACTCCAGGTGAGACCGCAGGTCTACTGTTTGAAGGTTTACCTTGACCAAGCACTAACTGATACACATGGATCTAACTCTGCAGTGAGACAATACAGAAAACTGTTCACCTGAGAGGAGCATACACTAAATACCATGCTCCTGCTAAGAAACACTGGTGATGCAAATGATTACGCACTCAGCTGCTAACCAAAAGGTTGGTGGTTTCAGTTTACAGGGTAGCTCCCCAGAAGAAAGACCTGGGGCCTGGGGGTCTGATCCCATACAGATTACAGCCAATAAAACACTAAGGGGCAGTTCTGGTCTGTCACATGGGGTCACTAAGAGTTGTAGTAGAAATCGACTTGAGGGCACCTAACAACAACATGCTCCTGCTTAGGGGGAGGGAGGAGAAGATGGAAGTGGTAAGGAGGGGGATTAAGGAGAAACTTGAGTGGGTTGGGCCCCCACTTCAACCTCAGCAATTCTGCTTTGTCTTTTCTGTATTTAGGAATTCTCTATAAGATTTAGTTTGATAAAGGGCTCCATTGCAAAAAAAACAAACCATCAACCACTAATAGCAGTTCCAAAAGCCCTTTGCTGGGCTTATCAAAATCATCTGGAAAAGCTTTTTAAAATACAGACCGTCAGGTCCAAATCATGGGGTGAAGTCTTAAAATCTATTCCTTTGTCCCCTCACTAATCTAGGGAATTAAAAGTTTCTGGAGGATTCTCTATTCCTTAAGCTCCCACAGGAAAAATGGTCAAGTATACCACCTCTACATTAAAGGCAACTGAGTTCTTTGAGTTTGTGGTAAAGGAAGGTCTAACTGGAACCAACAGTACCCTCCCAGGATATAAATCCAAATTATACACATACATTTCACAACTGGCAATATTTCCAAACATCACTAAGCCTGAGCCCATTTAAGACTTTACCACTCACTGCACACACAAATGAGTGGATAATCTCAGACAAGAAGGTGCCTAGACTTTCTTATTCTTTTGAATTATTTACATTACCTGTGTCTCCCCATCCTGTTATGTAACAATTGGGAGCTGTTTTCTGTGGCCTCTCTCTCCTGAGTGGTAAACAAGCTGGCAAAACGTGGCTACTGAATCTGGCACATTGTTCTTTTGCTCCTTGTAATCTAACCAGGGCAATGTCGTAGTCACTGCTGTCTGGTCGATACTGCCGGTGAATCACAATCTGTTGAACTCCAATTTCTTCTTCAAACTCCTCTGGCACCAGAGTATGATAATCCCCAAGTCGAACAGCATAGTTCCTAGTGCTATTACCATACCTGAGAGGCAGAGAGCGCTAATGAAGGGCTTGTTTCAAACACTGAAAACTGGTGATTGTCACCAAGGAAGGTTAATAGAGATGCTGTAAGCCTTTGTTCAAGTCATTAGTTCCTTTTGTATATTTAGTCTTGCCATTCCTCTGACCACTGCTCCTGGTCCTTTACTTAAAAACCCACTGTTATTACCTCTTTTCACCATTTAATCCACATTACCTTCCACTGTTTTTCTTTTCTGAGAAGCAGATATGGAAGATGAATGGACAATAAAGTCAACTCATTAGCCTGTCATTTCCCCACGGTAAGAAAAAGCAACAAATTGTACAGGGCAAACTTACTGTCCTGTATTTGCTGTCATCATTTCTCTATCATTTTCAAGATTGTCAGTTCATTGTGAAGCTCCATAAGGGCAGAAACCATGTCTGATCTAGATTATATCCCTCATGATGCTTAGCACAATCCACTTTGCTCCTGCTAGGTGCACTCAACTGCTGCCCTTTCCTGTGAACCAAATGCAAACCAAAACTATACTTTTAGCTCAACTTTCATTATATTCCCTCATCTCTCAAATCTTTGTTCAAATGTCACTTCTACGATGCCTACTTTGATGCCCTCATATTTAATTGCAGCTGACCCTGTTATTTCCTCTTAGCCCCAGCACTCCCAACATCCCTTAAACTGCTCTACTTTTCCTTTGTTCTTTAGCATTTACTACTTTAATTTTTATGTGTATTGTTCTCTGACTCCCCCTGCTTGAATGAATAGCATTCAAGGGCAAAATCTTTGTTCTTTTTGCTGATGTATCTTAAGCACCTAGAATAGCAACTGCCCCAAAGTAGGAATGCAACATATATTTGTTGAATTGTGAATGAATGAATGTATAATTGTAATGTTAATACTTTTTATCTCCATGAGAAGCTAGTCAATTAAAATTGAAACACCGTGTTTACTAGATTGATAGTTCTCAGCCTGCTTTTCAACCAACCTACCTTAATTCTGGTACATCCACCTATAGCAGGGTTTCTCAATTTCAGCACTATTGACACTTTGGGCCAGATAATTCTTTGTTGGAAGGACTGTCCTGTGTATTGTAGGACGTTTAGCAGCATCCCATTCATAAGATGCCAGTAGCACCCACCACCCCAGTTGTGACAACCAAAAATGTCTCCCGATACTGCAAAATGTCCCCTGGGCGGGCAAAATCATCCCTAGAATGATGGGCAAAATCATCCCACTGACCTAGAATATGTGACCCAACCTACCTCCTGGTTACTTCATCTTTCTCACTGAAGATCATAGCACTCAGCTCACTGTCTTCCCCTCTACCATTACCACAACATCCTTAATGATTTAATTTCCAACACTTTCCCCTTTTGGCTCCCTGACTTCTTCATCTGCAATGAGTGTATCCTCCACCTCATCTCAACCGCCGACTCCTGAGATAAGACTTAGACCTTGTTTTCACCAAATACACTTCTGAGATCTCGATTTCAAGCATCTCATATTTTGCCTATTACTTCCTGTTTTTACAGCTCTACAATTCTTCAGTCCCATTGGATTTCAATCCTTTGACCCCACTAGTTTTTCATTTCACTCTCATTCTGCTCATGACTTCCTTTCTTGCCTGGTTTGGATTTCACCTTCCATTACTATAATTACTCTTTTGCAAAATCTCTCAATTCTTTTCTTTTACCTGCCAGAACTCCAACCTTGGTTTCATCAACTCTCCACTTACATTGTGCTGGCATCTTACTATTGAAGGTGAAAAGCATACCTCTAATGACTCATCTGGAGCCCTGGTAGCACAGTGGTCAAGAGCTCGGCTGCTAACCAAAAGGTTGGCAGTTCGAATCCACCAGCCACTCCTGGGAAACCCTATGGGGCAGCTCTACTTTGTCCCGTTGAGACGCTATGAGATGGAATCGACTCAATGGCAACGGGTTTTGGTTTGGAATGACTCACCTAAGGAGCCCTGGTGGTGCAGTGGTTAAGCACTCAGCTGCTAACTGAAATGTCGGCAGTTTGAAGCCACCAGCTGCTCCATGGGAGAAAGATGTGGCAGTCTGCTTCCATAAAGATTACAGCTTAGGAAACCCAATGGGGCAGTTCTACTCTGCCCTATAGGGTCACTATGAGTTGGAATTGACAGCAACAGAAATGATTCATCTTAATATTTTGACGAAAACTTGAGAGTCTTTCACTGGATACAAGGTCTGTACTGGAATGTGAGCTTAGAAAATTGGGTACTCAAAAACTTAGAATTTGCTAGTAACTGCCTATTTAAAATATAGCCTCCCATTTACTCCTTTAAAATTTTTGGAGGTTATGAGATACCTAAACATTCTAATAGCCCTAAGTAGGGCTCCAACCACTTGCCATATATAAAGTAATTTTCTAAACTATGTCAGCTCAAAAAACTAAACAGCACCACAAAGATGATTTGGCTTACACAGCCTCTTACTATTGATCTATAACACCAATAATTTCTGTTAATTCCTTACGACTCTACACTTTCAACCTTAAATTATCATATATTTTTAAAGCTCAGAAAGCTTTTTATATATTGTGCCTTGAGATTGTCCTCTTAAGAGTTTCACTTCAAAATTTAAGGAAATTTTAGGATTATTTCACATCCTAAAACTGTAAAAAGTAATAGTCTTGGAGAATTATCAAGTAATTAAATAATGATCATTTTTACTTTCTATGTACTAACAATAATAATATACTATAAAAATATAGAAGCCTTATTAATAATATATCCATGTATTTAAAATAAAACCCCAAGTGATTTAAACACCTTTCTAACAAGAATAATTGTCAATAACACATCCCTTAAAATGCTCTTGAAAAGTTTCATGTATCTTTGGGATGGATTTGAGAAATTGTGTACAGCTGTGCTGTCCAGTCAGGTAGCCGCTAGCCACATGTGGCTATTGAGCGTCTGACATGTGGTTTGTCCAAATTGAGATGTGCTAAAAGTATAAAATACACATGGATTTCAAGTATGAAATAGTATGAAAAAAGAATATTAAACATATTATGTATCTCAACAGATCATAAAATATTAGATATTACAATAATTTTTATATGGATTATATTTTGAAAGATATTTTAGATATACTGGGTTAAATAATAAGCCCTGGTGGCACAGTGGTTAAGAGCTCGGTTGCTAACCAAAAGGTCGGCAGCTTGAATCCACCAGCTGCTCCTTGGAAACCCTGTACGGCAGTTGTACTCTGTCCTATAGAGTCGCTATGAGTCGGAATCGACAGCAACGGGTTTGGTGTTTTTTTTTTTTTTTTTTTTTTTGGTGGGGGGGTAATAAAATATATTACTAAAATTAATTTTTTTCTTTAGCTTTTCTTAATTTAAAGTTACACATATGGCTCATGTTTGTGGCTTGTACTATATTTCTATGAGACAGCACTGATCTAGAAAAATAATTTGGTATATACTAAGCATCCTATTATATTTCTTTCATGTAGTCTCTGATGTTGCTTGTGAGTAACTTCTAAATTTGAATAATGAGATATTTCTTGAAGTGTCAACTGTTGATATCTTTTAAGATAATTACGGGAGCCCTGGTATAACTTCTAAGTTTGAATAATGAGATATTTCTTGAAGTGTCAACTTTTTATATCTTTTAAGATAATTACAGGAGCCCTAGTGGTGCAGTGGTTAAGAGCTTGGATGTTAACCAAAAGGACAACAGTTGAAATCCACCAGCCACTCCTTGGAAACCCTATGAGACAGTTGCACCTTGTCCTGTAGGGTTGCTATGAGTCAAAATCGACTTGACAGCAATGGGTATTCAACCTATTAAAGACTTATTGCAACAATATTTTCCATTCTGTGAAAATATAGCTGTGACACTTAACTAAAATAATCTTTGCATCTAAACAGGCCGTATAAATCTATTCTACGTTATCTCTAAAAATTGAGTCTTTCAACCAATAGACAAAGAAACAGGAAATTACTACACCAAAGAGATTTGTTTAAAAAAATAACTGCAATATTAAAGTCTTGGGCAGTTTGCCATTTCATGCTTGGACTATTGCAATAATCTGCTAAATGGCCTCTTGGCTTCAAGTTTTAACTTCTTTAATCCATCCTTCACACTGCAGCCAGGGTGATGTTTCCCTTTGCTTCCTAACTACTTCTCTGAGCTTTCAAGGGCTCCCCACTGTCTACATAATAACGTTCAAATTCCTTAAATGATATACAAACCCTTCCAAAAACTGGCCTCTCTGATACCAGCCTGGCCCCTGTGCCCTTGTCCTTTAAACTGCTTGAAGATTTGCCTCTCACACCTATGTCTTTATTCAAACTGTTTTCAATATCCCCTTTTACTCCCCTCCAGCCTAATATGGCAGACTGATCTTATCATTCAAGTCTCAAGTTGAGGATCTAGTAAGCCCTTACTGATCCCCTGCCCTGCCTGAGTCCTTTTACTCACTCCCAAATAGCACTGTCAGAGCATTTATAACAGTGTCTAGAACTTAACTTGTTAAGATATCAGGTCTCCCCAATTAAAGGATCCTCAAGTGCAAGGACCATGTCATTCTCACTTTTGTATACTCAGCACCAAGCAAAGTACTTGCCACAGAGAAAACTCTTAATAGATGTATGTTCAGTGACTTCTTTTGAAAGACATCTATATACACATATATACTTATGCTCTCATCCCTAACTACTGAAACCAAAGGGACATCTTACCAATTTCTGTATTATAACAAAATCATCACAAAAGTTTCCATTTCAGGAAAAAAAAATTCCCCACAAGATCTAACTCTCTTTTAAACATTGGCTGTCCATCAAAATCATCTGTACTGTTTTTAAAAAATGCAATGTCCAGCCCACATAATCTCAGAGAGTATAAATTAATAGGGCTGAGGTAGGGACACAGGTGATTCAAATTCGTCAGGACCGAGAAACACTGAACCAAAGACTCTTAAAGGCATGGGCATAACTCTTGCCCCTGCATGCCTGGAATTTCACTAGAT